CGGACGGCAGTCTACTTACACATACTAATTCTGGCTTAGCTTTGTGCCTGTGTGCCTTAGCGAGACCTCCGACATCTCGTGTTTTCAGCACTACCAGAGTGCGTATGTCAGTGTGCTGTCACGTGATATGCTACACGTCTGCACGATTTCGTCCCGCTCTGCACAGACCGAGACCATAAAAGGTGTTGTTGACATTGGTGACAAGAATCACATTCACACATGTAGACTACACACATAATGAGGGACCTACCCCACTACCCCATTACCTCATAACAACACTACATGCAACCAATCACGATTCAATGCTACGCTCTTCTCATCAAATATGGACAAAGAGCTGATGACATCATGTCTTAGGGTACAGTTCCATACAGACCAGGGTGGTGTCGGTGTTGTCAATCTGATTGTCGTAAAATTCTATTAATTTTTATAACTGGTTGTTGCCAAACGTGGTCGTAGATGAACAGGTCTAATAGACTAGGACGATTGTGTAGGAGTGAAATGGTGTTTTGGAGTGCTGTTGCTGCTGCTGTTGTTCTTGTTTCCAATCTTTATTTTCACGATACTTCGGCCAGTTGTTGAATTATTCTCACGATGGCACCATCGCCAATAAGATCGTTGTTTGAATTCTTTATTCTCACGATGGCACCATCGCCAATAAGAGATAGATTTATGAGAAGGTGAGATTGTGGGTTAAACAGTTGGAAAGTGATTTACATCACTTTGAACTTTACAAGTATGGGAGAGGGTGAGCGCTGCAGGAGCAGATTGAGTTGATCAGCAGTGAGCAGATTTCTTGTTTGAAAGCAGGTCGGGAGGAGACGTCACGAATGCTAGCAGGGAGGGCATTGTAGCATTCTGGGGACTTGTACAGTGGGGAGTCTTTACAGCGATCGGTTCTGGAGGGTGGGAGGTGCCAAGTGCGTGCGTGTCGAAGGCTGCACTGGGCTGTAACTTGAGCGGGGGTGTTGAGCATGCGTATGTGTTGTGGGGCATATTGGTATTTTATGGAGTGAGCAAGAAGGGTGAGCTTCACTTTGCGGCGAGAGAACATTGTCGGCCATTTGAGCCGATGGAGCAGTGTTGAATGATTCAGAGGAGTGTAGAGGGGGAGACGGAGGTAGATTCTGGCCGCCTTGCTCTGGATTCGCTCAAGACGGTCAAGGGCTGCGATTGAGAGCGGGGTGACAGCAATGAATGCATATTCAATTATAGGCAGGATATATGTTTTGTAAATGAGAGAGTGATTTAGTGTGTAGAGTTGATTTGAGCCTAAAGAGAATATTACAAGATTTTACGGCTTTCTTCAGCACAAAGTTGTTGTTGTTGTTGTTGTTGTTGTTGTTGTTGTTGCTGTTGCTGTTGCTGTTGCTGTTGCTGTTGCTGCTGCTGCTGCTGCTGCTGCTGCTGTTGCTGTTGCTGTTGCTGTTGCTGTTGCTGTTGCTGTTGCTGTTGCTGTTGCTGTTGCTGTTGCTGTTGCTGTTGCTGTTGCTGTTGTTGTTGTTGTTGTTGTTGTTGTTGTTGTTGTTGTTGTTGTTGTTGTTGTTGTTGTTGTTGTTGTTGTTGTTGTTGTTGTTGTTGTTGTTGTTGTTGTTGTTGTTGTTGTTGTTGTTGTTGTTGTTGTTGTTGTTGTTGTTGTTGTTGTTGTTGTTGTTGTTGTTGTTGTTGTTGTTGTTGTTGTTGTTGTTGTTGTTGTTGTTGTTGTTGTTGTTGTTGTTGTTGTTGTTGTTGTTGTTGTTGTTGTTGTTGTTGTTGTTGTTGTTGTTGTTGTTGTTGTTGTTGTTGTTGTTGTTGTTGTTGTTGTTGTTGTTGTTGTTGTTGTTGTTGTTGTTGTTATGATCAGTCATCACTACTACACAAAGGTCGTTGACGCTGCAAGTTTTATTCAAAAGAAATGAAATATCCAAATTTTCGCCCTTGGGGCTTCATCAGGGAGTAAAATAATTATATAATGAAACTGGCTCTGTAGCATACTATAATAGTGGAGCATTGATTGGCACTACAGAAGGGAGAAGAGGAGAGCACGAGGCGTCATACATTAACAATATAAAAAAACCCTTAACACTTCTCTCACACTTCTTTAACGCTTCTCTCTCACTTTGTGTGATTATCACCATGTAACCAGTATGCACCTCTTGTTGTCCTCACCATTGTTTTTAATTTTTTATAGTGCCAATGTATGACGCCTCGTAGAAGAAGGAGGACGGTAGCAAAGCAACAGGGAGGAAAATTCAGGAGCAAAATTAGCATTATTGTTGTTGTATTTTCCTCTGGCTGTGATAGTGTGAATGTGCGGGCGGCGTGCAGGTATGAACA